AACACCAAAAGAAACTGTCAACACCAACGCAACAACCCCAGGCATTAATTCCGAAATCTCTCCCTAAACACGAGGCTCTCGAGGCTTCCACTCCAATCCGGAACCCTAACTCCTTAACCCTCGCCCCCCATCATCGAACCTAAAGATCCATCACCGTCAAGCCTTACATACCTGTGAAGTGCTGACCCCAGTGTCAACATGCCTACAGAGGTGTTCCTACAATGGACGGAACAGCACAGTTCCAACACACTTAAGAAGTCTTGAGAATACCGTAGCAATCCTGCGAGCAGAAAACAAAAAGCAAAACGGGCTGCTACTGGGCGTGTCTCAAATCAAGGCATCCCCACTTCACCTAAAATCCTGTGGCGGCAATAAACAATCAACAGATTGCACGAAGGCGAAGAATCCCACATCCCATCTCTAGACACAGCCTCGTAGCACGACACCGCGGTGTTGAAGGAGATTGTGCTGGGGCGGAGCTGCCTCCTGGACAAGCCAGTGTTGAAGGACTTGTTAAAATTGAGATTTAGGGTGACCCCCCCCCAAAAAAAGACTAGAATCCTCGTGGGGAACCCAAAAGTGAATACATACTTCTGAGAAGCCGCATTTGTGCATTCTTGCTTGGCTCAGGGTCTCGGTTATTGATTGCAGGTTTAAGCTGGGGGCTTCAAGCCCAGGTTCATCATGCCCATGGGAGTTCTGAGGCCAAACATGGGCGTTTAAAACACCTTTTTGAGTCCTGTCTTTCCTTACGAAGGTCGCATATTCACATATGGCCATAAAGGGATTGCATGTGGATGATGCAGATGTTCTGTAAGGATTGCATGCTATGGCGGGTTTGCATGGAGATGGTTTTGATGAACAGACCCATGAAGGGGAGGTCATCAAGCTGAGGTCTACGTGACACCCCGAAACCTGAATCCTACACCCAAAAACCTAAACCCTGAACCATGAACCTGCGGAGGCTGGCCAGGGACTCCGCAACCTGTAACCAGCCCGCGCTAGCCTTCCAGGGGGCCTAAATTAGGGTAGAAGGTTCCGCCTTGAGGGTTCAGAACTGATGGTCCAAGACTTGAGAACTTTTTCGGGTTCAGGGTTGAAGGTTTGAGAACAGAGTCGACCAGGGTTTGGAGACAGGGATTTTCGCATGCCGATGTCAGGCGAAGGGATTGCTGAAGGAGTTAGAGTATGCAGGGGTAAGGAACCAGGCACAAGGCTCTTTAGATTTTTAGATGTGTGATAAGCACGGGGGAAAAATTCCCTTCAGCAGTGGTTCCCTAGGCAACCCGATTTTTTGAGGGGGCCGGTAAATTTCCTGCGGCTGAGTTTGGCTAGGCGTACAGCTCATGATACGGCGGCAACAGAGACTCCCTGAAGCGGAGTCACTTGCTATTCAGGTATGCACACGTGCCCTTGTACAGGATTATGTAGGGTTATATAGTAGAAATGGAAAAGAAACCGATAACTGCTTTTGAGGGTTTAAGGCTCACAAAATCTTAATGGAATTGACAGTTGCGTCAAGGTTTGGAGGTTAGAGATCTAAGCCTGAGGGCCTTGCGGCAACGGATATCTTGGGACTCGACATTCGACGCTTGGGAGCTTGAGATTTATGGCTTGGAGGTCTTAAGGATGCCCACATGTGCGGGCTGTGGAACATTGGTCAGGCATGAGGCGCTGCTACTGTAATCATCTGCTTTAAACCTAACTTTCGAATTTGGCCAAGAGAGGAAAAGAGTTCAGGATTTTGGTGACAGACTAAAGTTTACAGTAAACGTTGGCATTTCACGGGCGCAAGGTACAAAACCCGAACCCTGCAGCAGTGTCCACACAGATCGCCACTGATGTTGCTACGTGCTCCTACGTGGGCTTCCTCAGAAATCGGGCTGGGGGGGTCTTGATTACAAGGACCCTCAACAAGGACAAAGCATGCTGAGAACCTTCGATGCAGGGGCAAGCCGTTACAAGACTTCATCTGCTCAGCGCCACGCAGCCAGCGCAGCATTTGCAGATATGACGTCCTCCGGAGCTAGCGGCTTTGCATTAAAATGTGTTTATCTGCATGGCGATTAACGTGTGCTGAATCATGTGTGAGCAGTGCGCTTTACTAGGGTCAGCAGGTGTCATTTGAGACAGTGTAAACCATAGGGGTTGAGAGCAGGCTCTGGTTTGAGCTTTACTTTGAGTTTCTAGGCCACTGCGTTGACGCCTGCACCTGCACTTTGCAGCAGCAGTAGCAGCAACAGTTATGAGTTGAATCCAAAATTCAGAAGGAGACGCCGCAGCGCTTGGGCCCGTTACGTGCCAACATCCCTGTTTGGGATCTCTATTTCGGGGAAGTACCAAGCTAGGCATGACTTCTGGTCCGCGGCGAAGGAACCTATGCAGCACACTCCCTTTCTTACATTCCAAGTGGAGGTACTGGTTGATCACCCTTTCACTAACAAAAAAGTGCTGCCAGAAAGAGCCACAAGTCCTGAATAAGAAGCCTCGTCCCTCTGGACACAAAAATTCGCAATAATGCCAGAGGATCCTCAGTGCGAAGGCTCTAGATGTGGGTAGCCCAAATCTGAAAATAATACTATTACTACTATTAATATCATCACTATTACTATTATTACTATCATTGCTATTCTTACTACTATTCAGACTGCAAGGCACCAGCTGCAAGGACGCTGAACCCGCCATTGCAAGGGCATCCAAGGCCTCAGAATCAACAAGTATCTATGGATAATGGAAAGGAAAATGGAAACTACTGTAATGGGTTATATAGGGTTCATATAGGGGTTTAAAAAAAGAGGGTTACAATTGTTATGTCTATTAGTATTACAACAGCAACAACAACAAAAACCAGAAGGCGTAGGACTGTCCTTAAATAGCCTCAAATATTCTTGGCATCTGAAGCAGCGCGTCCTATCCCTGTCTGCATGTGGCTCTCTCCCTCTCCCTGTAGGGCCCTGGCAAACGGCCAGGAGCCATCACGGCAGCCGGAAGCAACAGAGTTGGTCGAGACCAGATCCGATTGCAATGAGTGTGCCTCGTCAGTGACTAGATGTTTAACCAGCAGGGAAACAACAAAAAAGTATTGGAAAAACTTCCAAGCTGAAGAACAAGACCGGCACCTATGACAACAATGTGAGCCTCGATGAAAGAAACGCGAAACCCTCAAATGACTTAAGGGTCAGGGTGGGAGGGGCTGGAGGGGCTGTGGACGTGGGATTCGTCTGTTGCATGCTGCAGTACAGGAACCTAATCAAGTACTGTGCAACAACTTGTGGAGACCCAACAATCCTGGCGCTTTACATGCTGACTTTCGCTGACACAGCAAGAGCTTCAGTACTTTCTCGCCCGACTGAGGAGTGGTAGCAGGTTCTTGTACAGAGTGAGCAGACCTAGAATGTCAGGTCGTCAAAATAAACTGTAGAATACAGGGTGACCCTGGAGAGGTGGCAGCGTCTGACAGTGGAGCCTTAGACGGACCCAATCTGGTAGGATCCTCTCACTGTCACAAGAAGGCAACTCCCACATCCCACATGTAGCCATTTCTTGCGATGGCTGCTTCACAAACAGCTTTTAGAATCTTAGGTGCCCACCCTGCATATCCCAAACCTCGGGCAAGCTGGAGCTTAAGGTCTCCCAACCAAGGGACTCCACATCCTTCATGCTTCCAGTCCTCTAGACACTCAGCCAGGAAAATCTGTGCTGCAGCTTGGCAACGTGCAAGGCGTCCAGAAAGGAGACAGCAAGCGTCCAGGCACGCTCCTCATCCAGCAAGCACTTCAAGCAGCTTCCGAACAAAGATTCCGAACAGTACCAAAGCTTGTAGGAGCGTAAGCCACTTGGTCAACGTAGCTTGAGGTGATGATATTCTGCACTAATTAACTAGTGGCAAAGCTGCATGTCTTGCCCAGTCAGCATCCGATTCATAAACTTGCACCCACAAGAAGGGCCTGCGCCCAACCCTAATCTCTACACCTTGCCCTACAAGTTCTGTGCCTTGGCGCAAGACGCAATCGCCAAATTGTAGGCATAGACCTGCCAAAGTTCGGGTGTACATGACTTTGATGAAATACTGAAAACATGCGAGGCAGGCTCCCGGACAATGTCAAGAAGAAAAATCCATGGCTACATACCTGAAGAACACCTAGGTTGCCATCTTCAGCTAGACCACCTTTTCCTCCATACCTGCTCCTGGTACAAAAGGAAGCAAGCCAAGGTGCTCCCAGATATTATACACAAACACTGTGTAAAAAAAGACAAGGAGAATCCTCTTTCGGTCAAAGCCAGAAGCCCTTAAAAGATTTCAAACGTGTCTTTCCATGTGTATGCTACCCCCAGACATCTGATCATCCGATAATGTTGCCCTATACAGTCATGGAGGACAGCAATCTGCGCTTGGAATGCTTGCCCACTGTTTGCTGACACCTGCGGCATACCCAATTTTGCAAATGGGAGGTGGAGACAACGTTGCCCTCCCGGGCATTGAACCCACAACTGCGAGCCCCACACCCTCCGCGAAGGCAAGGACAGTTTTGTCACTCCGCAGCTGGCTTGCTGTTGCTCTTTGGTGTTGAAATCCTCGACCTGTCAATCAACTGTGTAACAGGCGGAAGAAAGCAGAACACTCTGGAATGAAACCCACAGGAGTCTGGTGTTGTGCTTGACTTCAGGTCTCGGGACTGATCGAAACGATCCAGGGTTGGAAGGTAAGCGCTTTCGGTGTAAAGGCATCTGCTCGCTTGTAAAAGGACCATGTTTGCTGGAATTCTTCTAAGGCACACAATGGCGCGGATGCAGCAAACAAATTTTGCCAGGCATGCTGAATGGCAACTACGTCGTATGAGGGAACACATGCACAGTATGTGGCCTCAGAAGATAATTTCTGGAATTGATTTCGTCTCGGCTTTGTTCCTGGATTTGGCTTTCTGGCAACAAGGCCCAAAGCACGAACAAATCCACTACGTAACGTTTAGGGCCCGGAGTCAAGAAGTCGAACACCAAGCCTGAAGCCACAGGCGAAAAAGCAACCGCGGTGATGCGGGATCATCCGTGAACCTGGTCAGTGTTGGGAAGTTGTTGAGGTACACTAAGACATGACTTTTTTACATTGGGTTCAAGTATGCTCGGAATTTCAAAGTATTCCTAAACAAAAACCCTGGATAACCGTGAGAGCTTCGACGCTGTCTGGAACTGTTTAATGCCATGGTAATTGCCTGTTGTAATCGCCGTCATTGTGTTACTTCTTCTTCTTCTTCTTCTCCTCAAGCGGTATTGGTGAAGAACCAGGAGCAGCGGCGGCCGCAGCAGCAGTTTCTATGATTCATTCTCTGAATTCCACACTGACATGACGAATACAACTGGGTCATAAGGTTGGGTCAACCCTGGCCCTGTTGTTCCCAGCTGCAATACAGCAGGAAGCAGCATGTGTCCCAGTATGCCTGGTGCGCACGGTCCAGAAGATCTTCTTGTTGCAAGTCTCCAGGCAGTGCCATCTTTGATTTCTTTCGGAGATGTTTGACATTGGCTTTCGTACTCTTGTTACAACGAGGGATTGCCTTGTCAGGCTCTAAGGGATAATTCTGACGCTCGTCTCTTTTGGCCTCAAAGGCTGAGAACTTCGGGCCTCCTGTGGTGACTTGTGTTGAAAGTGAACACGAGAACACGAGGCCTTGCCGCTCTTGAGGGTTTTGGGGTAGCTAGAAGGAGTCTCCACTTTCCACTTGTGCCATGCTATGCTAAAGCTACGAATGCACTGGCACAAGCCAAGAACCCTAAGTGCCCTCATCCACGCACCTTCCACAGAAGAGCCTTAAACCCGCCGATGTCTTCGGTCAACTATCGATCTAAAAAGCAACAGCGGATCCCTGACAATCTCTGTGATTAGATCTTCCGCCTGCAGTCTCACATGCCCTTTCTTATGGACTCTAACAATTTGGGGGTCAGGGCTATAAGGATCGTGAGTCATGGGAAGCAAGAGACTCTGTTCGCGCATGGAGCCAGCGGTAATTGTCCACCTTGGCTGCGAATGTGTTCATGTTACGTCTGATAACCACGTAAAAGCGAAGGAGCAGAACTCAGCCAATTCCAATTCAACACCAAAATCGGCAACACAGTACTACCTACCAGTCCTCGTTTGCAAGCAGCCTAGGGCCTGAGGCCGACTTGAAACCGAACATTGCCACGTTCCAAGGACTGAATCTTAAAATCCACAACCTTGCTACATCTGCTGCGTCCACCCTGAATCCCATGAAAAGCCCAAACAGTAAGCTCAGTCACCAGATAAGCCTCGCCAGCCTCGAGATCCTGCAAAATTCTGGGAGCCATGCTCTTGTTTGGAAGCCTAAACATACATCTACAGGGATTGGACTCCTTTGAGTTTACTCAAGCGTTCAGGAGGCATGACGTTGGCTTGTTCCATCCTGCTGTAGCACAACCCTGGAACTACTCGACGATGACATTTCTTCCGACAGACCGATGAGCAACTCCGGAGTCTCGGTAAAATTCTGGGACGAGCTCCGGGCCATCTTAACCTGAACCCCACACCTGAAGCCATACAGTTGAGACCAACAAGCCGTCCTCTGGCTGACCTCGAACGTTTCTCCCGAAGGTGCTGTTAATCAGCAGGAAGTGGGGTGTACTCTGCCATAATTATGCCGTCACGTCCTCTTCTCTAATTCCTTCTGTACTAACCACCCGCCAGCAACTTTTTGTTTGAGACCCTGCTGAAGCAGTCCCAGTGTTGCACCACGGCAGGATCGCTGCAGACCTCTTCAAGCTGCGACAGGGCCGTGCGCACCTGGAAAACAAGGTTTGCTAGGGTTCTACAAGCGTTATCAGCCCAACAATGGAAAACCAAATGGAAATGAACTACAACAAGACATGGAAACTGGGATAAAAATGCCTCACTATGGGAAGTAGCTGGAAGAAGCTGATATCCAACCTGAGTTCAAAGGAAAATTCACAACGTGAAGGACGTTGAAGGGGGCCGTTAAGATATTGATGATACGTATACTTCTAAAAAACAAACGGAAATGTTTCGGTTAAGCCTTAGGGTTAGGGCCATGCTAATTAGCCTGAACACAATCCGATGTTTGGTTGAGATTGCTTCAATGCCATGCAGCCTCTTCCATTTAAGATGGCTACTCCTACAACCCTGAACTGCGCCTCGAGATGTGGCGTAGTAAAAATGCCGGAGCAACAGAATCCAATTCAGGTAAACTCATGTGGTTTGCGCTCTCGAGAACGTCTTTGTCGTCAAATAATGGATTCTAGTCTCCTGTAACCGGACCTCGTTCAGACAGGGGTTGAAAAGCATGAGCATGTTGACCAGGGTTTTCTCAAACTATGGTGAGAGGGGTTTGCCACAATGGTCTGAAACTCGAAAAAACTACGACCGAACCCAAGCCTGCAATATAAAAACTATTGCATGGTAAGTTTGGAAACTTATCTCTTACTTTGCTGATGATGGAACAAGAAATGGAAGAGAAAACGCAAACTATCATATAGCAGAGTCGTTGCAAACACATGTTTTCCGATTGATACGTATGGCACCGAGGTTGGCTCGAATGATGTCCTCACTGGGGCCACTAGCGTTGTAGTTCACAGACGTTGTACTCTACAACGCATCGCCATGTTGGCTACACTGTTCACATACGGAAATAATGGCAAGGAAAAAGCAAGCTACTACGAAAGGAAAGGGGCTCCATTTTCTGAGGACCTGGGAGCCCAGGATTTCTGCTGAAAGCATGCCCTGAGTAGTAAGCTCATCTGCCGTGGAAAGCCGGAATAGAGAGGGACTATGTCCTCATCTGGTACAAACAGCTTTTTCACAAGTTGAAGGGAATAAACGCACGATAAACGTGAAACAACCCACCTGAAAACTCCAGCTCCTGAGTTGACCTGAGCTTTTCAGCACCACAACGCCTCTGCAACCCTGGACCCTTGCAGACTCTTCAGCTCTGCCAAAAAAGCTTAGATCTTCTCGACTGTGAAGTCTGGGCGCCTATTCAGCCACAAACTCCCCAGCACCCAACTTATATACCTCAAGCCTGACAACTTGAAAAAGTGAGGCCCAACATCCGGCTCCTTCCGACAATGTCAATCAAGTTGTTCTTGCGATTGCCCAAACAAGGGTCTACCCACCTGTTCCTCCTCATCCGTTCCACAGTACGCTGGCATGATGGTCTCCACCTGTAGGGACGTTCATGAACTGTTGTAGGATCTGTTGTTTGTAGGCTTGAAGGTCCAAGGTTGAGCTTCAGAGCATTGCTAAAGGTGTGGCATTCAACATCTGCGGGGCTCCAGCAAGAAACTGCAAGAAAGAGTGTAGTGTCAACCTGAGCCTGACCGGGATGGAGTTTTGAGGAAATTGTAGTCCAGTTTTCGGGCGCTTGAAGGCGTCAAGGTAATATCCTAACCAGAAAGGCCCTTTCCGCGAAGCGTGGTACACATTGGACAGGAAGGTCTGGGCTGAAGCACCACTTCTTTTGAGCTCCCTAGGATTCAACTACAGTCATTGGTATGGTTCCTTTGTTTCCACTTTCCATTATGATCGCAATTCGCTTGACGTTCATTGGAATTGGAGATGAGCGCGTTGCCTCGGACACTCCAAAGATACTCCAGGGCTTGCATCCGGGTCTCCAAAGTTGGGCGTGGCTTGCCATTTGGGGCTTGGGCATGCGGTGTCTGAGGCTTTGGCACAGGTATTTGGTTTACGGCTTCGGGCTTCGGATTTGCGATCCCCATTGTACGTCCTTCGTAGACTCGGGCTTACAGCTTCCGGCTTGAGAGGCTGCACAAAAGATTCCTGAACATTAACATTTGTGATCATGCATCCGGTGATGGCGAGGACTTCTGGCTACTCGGTTACCCGAATACATTAATGTGCAATCAGACTCAAATATGCCCGAGAGTTTTGAGACCACACCAGGATAGCTTCTCATAGCTGATATCCAAAAGGCTGCAAGCCCAAAAAAGGACTCCTAATTCAACTCCGGAGAGCACCATGTTCTTGGCATACTGGATGCAGGGTCGCCCGTTTGCCTTCTGCAAAAGCAGGACATCTGTGGTGTGACTGCATTCAGCTTTTGCTTTGCTTGAAGTCTTGGGTTGGCAGCTCGACAGAATGTTCGGGCCATGGGCGCGGTTTGCAACACAGAGTCGTAACATCAGGAATTGATTGTTATCAATGGCCACCCTGACTGTTGCAATCAATGCATCGAAAACCTTTGTTTCGGCATTGCCGTACGCGTGGGATTTGAGATCCGGGCAAGGCTTGGGATTCCAGACTTACATAGTTTGAAGAGGAGACATACAGCCAACAACATCATTGTAAAGCTTTCATCAGAACTTCATCTTAAAGGCACACACATCGTCGAAATATAAAAACATTCACTCAACAGGCAGCACAGACACCACTGGTCATCTTGCAGCATGTTAGATGGAAATGAGCCTAACCACTCATCCCTGCAAGCCGGCTTCGAGGTATATCTTGGGCCTTGCATGCTGCAGCCCGTATTGTTAAGAAGCCTTCAGGCTGTTCTCAACATGAGCAGCCTAGGAACATCCGTGTAGGCCATGGGCCGCTCCCGGTGGTCAGTAGGAGGCTGCCGCCAGTCCGGATGATACTCCACGGACTGCGCGTTGTATTTGAAGCCCTTCTCCTCTTCACACGAACTAGATTATCGACGAAATTCTCTCGAATTAGAAGCATCAGACGTAGGATTTGTTCATGGCATCTACGGTAGTTCTGATCTGTTCGTAAAAGTCTGATAGGTATGACGTGTGAGTCGCAAACAACTTGCAAGCCCAGTCTGCCAGCTTCCAGCTATGGATAAATTTACAGCCAGGCCCCAAACCTTGGAAGATCTGAGTTGGGGATAAAGCCTAATGCGCCGAAAAATGTGGATTCCAAAGTAAACCTCCCACACAGTAGAGCCTCTGTACATAAAGGCCCCACAAAATCACACCAACAGAATCAAACTCACTTGCAATGGGCCCCAAAAACCCAGACTCCAGAAGCTTGAAGAGCTCTGGCTTCTCTCGCAGGCGACGGTAGATCTCTGCAGCGCTGGCAAGCCTTCATGAGGAATCTTACTAGACTCTTGGAGGTGATGGATGGGCAAACGCTCGCAGCGGCAGCCTGAAGAACTACGATTATCTAGGGGTTATAGGGTATATATATTCCGGTTATATTGAGATAATGCAAAAGAAAATAGAAACTACTTTAATGGTTTTAGGATTGAAGGCCTGTATCTGCATGGAGAAGCTCCAAGGGAGAGCTTAAACCCATTGCTGGCTTGCTGCGACCGACACTCAAAGCAGCAAGAAACCTACATGCGGTCCTTGGAGTGACTAAGCTCCGAAGCCTGAAACTCACACCGTACAGCTGATAGCTGCACCCAAGAAATCAGGATTGATAAGGTTCAAGATTCTCACCAAAGTGATAGCACCGGTGACAACTTGGAGAACACAGAGAATAAAATGAGGGATAGTGGTGTTGGAAGTCAAACTCGGAACGTTTGCAAAAGAACGACCACCTCCAAAAAGAGACCACACTCCCAACAGCTGAAAGCTGCTGACGAGGAGCTTGCTCACGCCACCTTGGGCTGCAGGCCGCACGCAGATCATAGCAAGGATGTCACATATCCTGGGTGGCATTGCTTTGGGTAAGAGACCGGTGTGGGGTGTACGGTGGATCGTCTGCTTTGAGAACTTGACGACTCAGCTTTATCTGTTGCATTTTCAGCCGTGCGGCTGTCAAAACCAAAGCCTCATTGTAAACCTTTCTTGCAACTTGCGATTCTGAAAGACCGCTGAATCAAGCGAACTTCTGCCTGTACAGCAGACCAAAATGCTATAGAAAATGGGCGGACTACCGCACTTCATTTTCGATCTTGTTGTCCCTGTCCAATAACCAACCTGAGCACACGCACCCCGAAGCAGTAGCTATCCTCAACTTACTTTTTGGAGCCAGGTTGATTTACTGGATGCACATGTTGGGGAGGGGGCAGGGCTCCATAGAAGGACACACAGATCTAGCTGTCTGTGAACACACAACGGGGAAAAGTTGAACCTTCACAAACCCAAATGGAAGGCCGCCGCGTGTAACCTTGGGGACAACTACCCGCCCAGCCCTAAAATCAGGCTTGGTAGCAAAGTTCCCTTCAGAAGGAGAGGTGGTGTCTCAAGGTTTCAGGCTTGAGGCCTGCATTCATACATGTGAAGGGGTTAACGGCCCAATGCTCATCCCCCAGTGGGCGAATCCCCAACATTCAACCCTTTGCCAGCTTTTGCTCTGAACAGGCCCATCAAATGGTCTTCTGAAAGCGTCCCTTGCCCCCGCATGGATGGGATCGATCCGTCAACGTGCAGGAACTGGTCCTGCAAGCTCATCATGCCAGGCCCCATCAGTGTTGTGACAAGTGTATTTGAACTTTGGGGGATTCAAGTCTCACGAGGGAGGTCTGTGTATTCAAGGACGGGTCGCTGGTTCCCGCGGAGCCTCTCTTCAATATTGAGAAAGCCTTGCCGAAGAGCACAGTATGTTGCGCAGCTAAGGAGTAGACCTGGCCGGCATGGGACATCAGACCTACTCGGCAAGCACGGAACATTCTATGGCAGCAGTGTGGAGAAATCAAGCAGCATGTGCAGTCCCCACACCTCGTTGGATTGCGTGTAAATAGACCCGGCTCAACTCTAATGTGTTTCCAAACAACAAGGCCCCAACGTTCCCAATGTGATGATTCATTCTAGATCAACTCATGTGTGCCACGGCCCCTTTGATGCTACATACCCTGAAACTGTCCTTGGCATTGCGGTAGCCGCGTCGCTTCGTGTGCTCAGCTGAGAGCACTTCCGGCCGCTTCGCATCCTCCACCTGGGTCTTGTGCAAGGGTTCAAGGATTCGAACAAGGTACCTGAAGCACGATGGCTCCGTACTGGCAGGAGCTATTCCATCATGGCTGTCTTGATTCTACTGCATGGAAATGTTTTGATCTTGGAACCGTCTCAAAAAAATCTTGGCAGGGTCGCAAACGAAAACAAAAGACTTGACCCCCAAACATGCTAGAGACCTCTTCAGAAGGCCTAGCGATACGTTCCAAAAAAACACATCCCCTCAGTTGGGCTGTGAGAAAACGACGCGAAAAAGAAACAACCATGTGACTTATTGTGGACTTGCGAGCGGTTGGGGTCAGGCATCCCTGCCCTACGAACCTTACCGTCGCCAAGTATCTGACCAAGGACATAGAACCATAGCTTACAAACCGCAACTGAGCTCTTGCAAGCAAGAACGTCTTTAAACAGTGTCTCCCTGGCATTCAAAATTTAATGAACGACAACGCAAGCCCCAAGATCTCACACATAGGTCACTTGCATTCCTTCACACACGCCAAAAGACTTTAGCGCTAGCTTGCTTTGGAAAACTGCAAGAATTATTGTGCCCCGTCGTCCATGGAGCCGAAACACCTTGACGCCACACGCCAAGCCACTCGAGCACAAAGTTCGCGCAGATCCGTAGACTGCGGAATGCAGCAACGAAGTTGAACCCTATCACCATAAATTGCCACGTCCCCCCACTTCTTGGGCGTAGCAGTGATCAAATTAAAGAAACATCTTGCAAGATTAAAGGTAGGGGTTTTAGGATGCAGGGGGCCCAGTGCTTAGCAAGTCTAGGATGCCAGCTCTCTCTAAGATGAGTACTTTCTGCAAACTCGGCTGCATTGCTGACATCAGCAGATGCTGTGTTTTTGTCAAGTATTTTTTCGTTGACCACAGCAGTTATACGTGTTCCAAGATCAGGGCTCGAAAGTGCTGAGCTTTGCATTAAGGCTGAAGGGTACATTTTGAGCAAACACCTTTCCGAAGCATCCAAACATGTTGAACTTCAACGGAGCAGAAAGATGAAACTGAGATTCCCAATGCCACCCGCTCCTGCTCGACCACTGCAATATAAGTTTCCTTTGGAGTTCGTTTGTCACCCCCAAAGAGTGCGAAAAAAGCCTTCACGAACATCTGTGTTGCATAGCAGAACACTTGTTCTCGGTGGTGCTGAAGAGAAGCCCAGGATGCTTCAAAGAGGGCTTAGGAGTTAGGGCAGAAATGGTTTAGGTTCGCGATATGCTGCTGGGTTTAGTGTTGCACAAAACCCCTGACACACATCCAAGCCTTATACCTCCATAGCGCCCTGACTCCAATGCCCAACCTCAACATCTCGTATTGACAAGAATCATGGCAGGATATCACCGTGCCCTACTCTCGCACTTGCCAGGATCCTTCTTTCTGTGTATATCTGTGCTGCTGCCATTCATATAAACCAGCACAAAAAAGAAATTGATGCATAACAATACAAATGGCAATGCAAAACGGGTTGAAAAAGGAGACCAGCGACTTCATGGAGATTTCAAGGCATGCAATAAGAACGGAAACAAAACAGCAAATGGGAGTGTATAATGACAGATCCAAAAGTTGCGCCTGGGCCACTGCTCGGCCAAGGTGTGCGCAGAGTCCGAAAAAACAGCGCTGACAATCCTGACGGCTGGAAGGGATGCTTAATGATGGGGTTTAGGGTTTAGGGTTTAAGGCTTAGGGTTATGATAGGGTTTTGGGGTTTGGCGTTTTGGGTTCGGCTCAGACTGAGGATTTCAGATATAAGGATTGAGGTCGGTCCAGGCTTCATGGTTTGGAGGTAGCTGCACAAGATTTTTCAAGGAAGAGCTACAAGATGACCTGTCAAGCCAGTATGACCTCTTAAGAGTCGGCAGGAACTTTCTTCATGCTACGTTACACACTTGGAGACACTTGCAATCCAAAATACAAAACTTCTAGAAGTGGAACACGTAACCAAAGTCCTGCACCTCCACAACTTGAACCGCAAACCCTCCCTTTGGTAAGGTGCACTCTGAGACCCATGGACGAGGCCTTCTCACCGAGCTTCTGTATCCACTCAGCCCCGAACCTCCAAGCAGGAGAGATCTTTGAAGGCCCCATGTTCTGACGTTGAGAGCGTCATGCTTTGGGAGCTGCTTCAAGCTGTTGGTTGGGAGTTGGAATGGAGGTCCGTTCTGAAGCATTCAGGTTTGCGGGTTATGGTGGTGGGCTTGTCGAGCACTGCGTGACAATGCGGCTTTAAGGCTGAAGCTTCTCAAGAATGCAAAAACTTGAGAGGGGGTTCTGATGTTCCTTGGCTTCCCACAGCACTGACAAAATCTGCCCCTAACCGTCTCACTTGAATGAGACGCTCCTAAGCCTGCAACCAACACTGCCTGAAGCATTAAAAGCTCCTCTTTAGACTGCAGATTCAAGACTGACAACGCGTGTTCTCGAATGCCACCGGAAAATCAGATCGTTCGCATCTGGATCTGAGCAGTGGCTTGGTGCGTCAAGCTCACTCAAAGTTGCAAAGCACGCAACCCACTTTCAAATTAACCCAACAGGCGGCCTCAGCAGAACTGCACCTCCCCCAAACCTAGGCCAAGCGAGTCTCAAATTCAGGGTCAAGATTCAATCCGGGTCTCAAGCCTGAGGTGAGGATTAGCTAGCATCTAGTAGATAGCACGGCTCCCTCAATACATCGGCACTTAACAGTTCAGAATCCTGACAATTTGAGCTGGGGGCTGAAGCTCGCCTTTCACCTTCTGCAGGGCTGCCAGAACTCTCTCCTTGAAGGCCGGGATAGATCATGCAGGGGACTTCTTGTATTCCCTGTTCTGAGGCATTGAGACGGCTGAGCCGGCCCACAATTACGCGGAAGGCTCCCATGGTGTATCCCACGGCATATAGCAAGTTCTCAAACTCAGGCAAACTCTGGGGACATATTGCAAGTGTGCTAAGGGGATCATGGGGACACATTGCAGGATAAATGCGATGTGGCCAGAGTCCCGCCTGGCATTTAGGGTTTCAGGTTTGCTCATCATAACGGGGGAGGTTTCGGAAGGTTTTAAGGACCCTAGAATACATATTTATTCCCTCTCTGGGCCCTAGAGAGGGAATAAATATGTACGTGTATATATATATAGATATATTTCTTTTTTCCATATAGACATATATGTGTGTATATATATATATATAGAAGGGGATGGTGAGAGCTGCCTTAAGCACTTTGCGGTGGTGGTTTTGGAGAAACAGATATCTCTGACGATCAAATTGACCAAACTCGAAGCCTGGATTCTCGGAAGCCACCTATGTTGCACTGCGTTGAACCTTTCGGCCCACTGTCTGCTATCCTACGTTCTGAACACCGCAGTCAAGACTCTTCGTCTTAGCACAACGACAAACTTGAACTCCTTGGCCTGATTTCCTGACGGATTGCTTCTGAACAGAAAGTCTAGATGTCTGCTGCACCCAAGGCTTAAACAGCCACTTAATTTTCCATCTACTGTCCCATCTGATTCTCCACATTAAGCCATGAAGCCTAGACCCTGAAAATCAATTTCCATATCATGTTCCATCATCCTTTTCCTTCTGATTCTCCACATTATAGTTTAGGGTTTAGGTTTTAGGGCCCTGGACCCTAAACTCTGAATAGTACAAGCCATTTCAACCTCCATTTGACTCTCCAGAGTAAACCAAACCTCCAGTGGTAGGATTCGTTTTTCCCTTCGAGTCTTCACAGGAAGCCCACAACCCTAAATCCTCGATAATGGTTTCCATTAAGCTTCGGCAGCTTCCCACATGAAACCCTGACCCCTAAACCCTCAGTATTAGCTTCCGTCTCATCGTCCATCTTCTCTTCCATCTGATTTTCTATATGGAACCTTAGGCCCTATATCCACAATAGTAGCTTGCATTTCATCTTGCGTGGTCTTTTCCAGTTGATTATCCACATTCAGCCCTGAAAACTTCCTATAAAAAACAGCTTCCATGTCATCTTCCAATGTTTCCATGTTGCTCTCCACATTAAACAAGTCCCTGAGAGAGCGCAGTCCGAGATTGCTTCAAATCTTGACTGGAGTATGCAAAAGAGGCACACAACTTTGCTTCACCTATCAAGCCCTGTACGGTCCCAGCTTCTACCTCCTTTTTTCGTGCAGCTTCTAATTTCGATTCTCCAGTCTTTTCACTCCTCAAACGCTTTGAAATGCCAAGACTCGTTTACAACAAAGGTGCCTGCTGTGAGCTCTTCGAGCGTCAGGTGTCGACCTGAAGGCTTAGATCGAAAAGTCACTTCTTGAGAAGCTGACTTAACGTCCTGAGCAGACTAGGCAATTAAATGTTAGAGGCCCTTTCGAAGAGGCTCTTTCGGGATGCAGGCGTTCTGAACAACCACAACCTGCAAACATGCTTGACTGTCAAATCAGAAAGGAGCACCGTGGGCTTCACAGTTCAAAATTTCCAGGCTTCAGAGG